GTCGATCGTTATTTCCTCGTTCTGGATGAAACCGCAAGAAGCTTCGATTTGCGTCGCGGTTGCGAACGTAGGCGGATCGCGAGCCAATTATGCAACCGCATATGCGCAGAAGAAGACGTTGATCGTGACGACTTTTTGTGACAATCGCTCGATGTATGCAAAGCGGCGATTACGCGAACCATCTCCGGCGGTTAAATAAAATATCCAAGGATGCCGATCCGCGTCGCCTCGCAGGCGCGTTCGATAATGACGCCGCGGATCGCCGTGACGCGCGTCGGAATTCGCGAGAAACCGAGCGGCAGACACGCCGAGCTTGAAGGAAGCCCGATCGCCGCGATAATGATACATCGGAGCCGTCGGGATTTTCTTTCGGCGGCCGGGCCGTAAATCCAGCATTATTACGCTATTACTTATTCCATTATTCATCGGCTGAAAATAATTTCGTCCCCGGCGAGCCGGCTAATTTATCGGCCGTCGGCTCGGGAAATTATTTGTAAACGGATAGCCGTGCATCAATCCGCCGCTATTCGTTTTCTATTCCGCGACCGACCGGCCGTCACTACGTACACACGGCAGGATTAGAGATCGGTGGGTGTGTTGCGCCGGTCGGATCGGGTGTGCGATCATGCGTTAAAATGAAAGGAGACGCGCGACGTGCCGAGATGAGAAATAAGAAAAACGAGCCGGACTCGATAGCGGCCGGTCGCTCGCTCGGTGTCCTAAAAGGAGAGTCTCGTATTCGAGAGTGTGCGACGACATTTGCGATCGCGCGCGGATTAAAATCCACGCTGCGATCTCCATGGAATCCGCGAGCTGAAAATAGATCGGTCGGTCTTGATACACCTTGCGGCTTTGTCAGTTCTTCTTTATCTTCTCGTCTCTTTCCTTTCTCGCATTTCAAGGTATGACTAGGTGTAACTCAAGAGGCTCGCATTGTCATCGGTGTCGAATAATTTAACTCCACAAATCGGAAAAGAAATTAGTATTAGATGCTTGCAAAAGTTCGTACGATATTAAAGCCATTTTTATTAATTAATAACAGTGAAACGTGTGATGTTTTAATCAAAGTATTAGCTGTTGCTAGCAATAACTTTCCGCCATCTTTCGGGCGGTAGTTTGATTTCGCATCGCGGAATGATAAAATGATTCATCATTCGAGGTAATCCACTCATCGACCCATTCTCGCACTTCTTCAGCATCTCGGAACCGTGTGTCAGATAGACTGTGCCGATCTGAATAGCTGAAAATCAGACGGGGCGATGTCCGGGAAGTACGCTGGATGCAGCAGGACTTTTCAATCTAACTCGTTTCTTTAATCGCGGCAGCATACTGCCCGGCGATGTCGCGAAGCTGGGTGACTTTGCGTTGATTCACGGCTATTTGAGATTTTTCCTTCACGGCTTGGTTCAAACACCACAATTGTTGACTGTAGTGATCTTCTGCGACTGTCTCCTTTGTGGTAATAGTTCATAGGAAAACATTCCTTCTTGGTCCCACCAGATACGTTAAAATCCCCCTAGGATTAAAGACTTCAAGTTTCACTCGTCGTTCAGTTTTGCTTATTTACTTTCCTCTTGTTCTTACATTTCAAAATACCTTGATATGACCCGAGTGATTCACAGTTCCGTCGGTTTAGCGTAACTTCGCGAATCGGCAAAGAAATCCGTGAAAATTCCGCCGACGCTAAAAACGCAGAGTCCCATCGTGCTCATCGCAAGAGTCGTACGATATTTCCACAATCGCCGGGGTAAGAAACCTCGCCGTTATAGGTTAATTAAAGTCCTCATCGAGACACGCGGTCATAGATAATAGCGGAGAGCATACACAGTACTCGGACGCGTTCTATCGATCTGTACCGCTAGTCGATCGATCGGCCGACCGGTAACGATTTTTTCCACTTTCTAAACGGCGCGGGTCCGCTCCGAGAGAGCGAGAGAGCTAGAGAGAGAGAGAGACCGCGCGCGCGCGGAATTTCGTGATTAGCTCGGCCGTTTTTGTCAACGTCACGTTGGCAATAATGTTCGTTGGCGCGTAGAATTATTGCCTCATCGATGCCGTTGTAGGCTGTTGTAGCTCGCGCTTGTCTCGGACCGCTCTTTTGTGGTTCGCAACGGTCGCCGATATCCCTGTCTCCACTCTCGAGCTCGACGAGCGAGAGCCGTCTGGATCCTTTTCGCCACGGGGAACAAAGAACTTCTTTCCACCCCTGTTCACCACTTTACGCGAGCTCCTGTCTGCGAAAATCGCGAGAATTTCGGAAGCGGCACCGATACTCCCGAGTGTACGTCTTACTGTCGGTTTTTCTACCTCTGTGCCATCGCCTTGCGTCATACATAATTTCTCCATTGACTGTTTTATCATAGAAGAAGATATAAATATAATTCATCATGCGTTTCCCTATAATTTATAAACTCAGCAAAAGTTCGTCGGTTCGTCGATAGTTTTATTCGCTCAGAAAATGAATCATTTTATAGATACGAAGTCAGACTGAAAAATGACGGAAAGTGATGAGATGAAAATACTTTGATAAAACATTGCATGTACTATTTTGTTGCTATTAACAGAAATATGCTTAAAGGCCGACGGATTTTTGCAAGCTCTTAAATAATATTAAATTCTTTTTAGAAAAATTGAAATCACATCGCAATTTATTGTGGTAGAAACGTATGTAGTTTCCCCAGTTACTATCTGATATTAATGCATTCTCATTAGTTGTAACAATACTGCTTAGGAAATAAACAAGAACTTGATAGAGTTTTATTCAGAAGACCGAACTGCCGATTTTATGAGCAGCAGATTTGCTTATCTATCAAATGAATCGTTTTGCCATCAATCAAGTGAATCCATTTATTCTATTTATTTCCATTTATTCTATTATTCTATTTTCGTTCAATGAATAGGTTTAGATTTTGCGCATTTTTTTGTGTACAATAATTGCAGGTAAAGCGTTACATCTTGATAAGGATCGCAAGTAGTTTTACTTCTCAGTTAATAGACAGACGTTAATAAACTGTCTAGTAATTGTTCAAGAAATGCGTGAAATTTCTACCAGGGTAATTACTATTCAATTTCGCATTTCACTTTTCTACTCGCACTTCCCTTAACTCACTTTCAAATTCGTAAATTTTCAGTGAATGTAATAAAGTGTCGATTTCTTCGAGCCGAAGAAACCGGAAGCCCCCCTCGGTGTCTACGTGAACATTAAACTTGTACATCGGGAACGCAACGATGTGTAATCAACTCTGAAAGAGTATAAATAAATCCGTGGATCTAGCAGCATAATGGAGGAGTAGCAATTCGATCCTTTACTTCATTTATTGAAGCATGAACGAATGGGTTCGTTGATTCGCGTTTCTATCGCGTTATCTTTACGCAACAGTGTTATCACACCGGCACGTGCATGAACGGACGCGTACGCGCGAATGTAACGTGAGAACGCAAAAAGATAATGACACGTAGTGGGCGATGGCGTGATAAGCGAGATCCGAACTGATTACACTGAGTGGACAAAAAAATACAAGGTGAGAGCCGCTTCGCTTCGCGGGAATTTAAATGAAAAAGAAACAAGGAAACAATGACTTTGTGCGCGCGGTCGAGGTGTTAATCCGCGGTGCCTTGCAATTTGCGAAATGACTTGCGGATCTCGCGCTCATAGTGCAATCCGATCGGCTAAACGATGTTATTACAGCGATAACTGTTATAACTCCAAATTAATCGCGGCTGCGGCGTTTGCTTGTCCTCTTTGCCGATTCCGCGATAAGAGCGGTGGTGCACGTGCGAACATTGTTGTTCAATCGGACGGGCTTGAATGGGATCGAATGGCGCGCGATAATACGTGTACGGGTCGAGTGGGCGTCGAGGATCGATTCAAACGGTCACCTAGCGTACATTAATTCAACGCCGGGTCGTCCATCAATTAAATCCACCTAGTCGCCGAGGGATCGTCGGACCTCCCTCGATTTTACGGCGACGTTCGCTCGCCCGGTGTGCAAGCTGATTGTTAGCGACGTTAAATTAATAAAACGGGAATTACGAGCGATTTTGACGGCGCGATGAAACAGGAATTTACTGATATCGTTTAGGATTTTGTAGAAAGAGAGAAAGAGGTCGCGCTTTCCATCGCATTAATCCGTTTTCGTATTTATATTATTTCCTTATTTTCTTGAATTGATATTTTTTCCAAGAAATCACTCCGTTGAAGCGCGCGAATGGTAGGATGAAGCGAGATCTAGCGTCGAAGGCGCATGGACGTGAAACGTCGTGGCGTGCTCTCTCGCCTCGCGAGCCCAGCTTATTTGTCGTCGATAAAGGAACTCTCTACGATCGGAACTTTTTCGGCTGATTTAATAAAACGCAATTTGCAAGACTATAAATCGCGCCGTTGAGTTGCTCTCTTTCACTATTAACGAATTTCGAAATCAATTCGTGACTATGTGAAATACCTATATCAAGTTTCTATCTCGAAGCATTCTACAGAGCGCAGCACGAGCCAATGGAGCACGCACCGAAAGGTCGTGCTTTCACGAGCCGAACGTGCACGTGGTGAAAATCGAGTTACATTGCGCACTTTCATTCTTTCCGAGCGCGAATAAATAAATGCATACTTCCTATACGTGAACCAATTAAACGCCCGTTCAGGAAGTTAACCGAATCGACTCATGTTTCACCTTGAGCCTCAAACTAATTGTCATTATAATTATCATCAATGGATAAATAATGCTACGTCGTAGAATGATTTACTCGGATTTAGTCAGTGGAGTGCGCAAAGTTTCCGGCTCATTTTATTTTCCAAACGCGCTCATCGACCGTTGCGTAATTACTTTTTTACCTGTTGAAAGCAGCGTAATGCATCGGACGTTACAATCACGACTGATCTAATCGTCATATCAAATTACAGGAATACACATGAGGCGAAGGGGAATCGATAGGCGACATTGTCGCGTAAGTAAACAACTTGAAGTGTAATATTTTAATAGTAATCATAATGAAGTTACAGGATGCTTTTATACAGTATGTATAGATAGACAGCGTCATAATATAATTTTCCTTAAGTAATTCGTTCAATATAATTATGCTTAATCACTTCGTAAGTTTATTATCGTCTATGGTGAAATAGAGAGAGAGAGAGATGTAGAACGTGTATTCGTAAAACCTTTACGTGAAAAACAAGTGAAGCCCCAGTTCGGTGGTTACAAACGAACGATATATCCTTTGTCTCTTTTTTTCCTTTTTATTATTATTATTATTACTAACTACGCGCGTATGAAACGTACTTGGTACACATGTATATGCGCGTGTGTATTGTGTGTCTCTTCCCCATCGCGGTCGGCGTTCTGGCCGATCCGACGATAATCCGCGACGTGGACGCGCAAATATTTGCTACTTGAATAAAACGAGACGCGAGGGAACGCGTTCGTCCGCTCTCACGCGACTCTTCTCTTCCGTCCCGCCTGCGTTACACGTGAAGTTTCTTTAGAATCGTATTTATATATTAATAAAAATCGCGAAGACCCTTTGCCTCTTGTCTTTACAAACGTTACTTTACCTAATGGAAATTTGTACACAGTTTACCGCGGAGGATTTTCCTGCCCCACTGATCGCGCCAAATTATACACATTATATTCTCGCCTCGTTTCGAGCACTGAGATAAGATACCATTTTCCCGTCGCATTTCGCGGAGGACTAACCACGTATCCTTCTCATTACGCACGGACACGAAGACGCGTGTCTTTCCTACTGCTGCTTCGTGGATCCTAAGCCTCGCATATCATCTCCCTCGCTCGCCATCTCGCCGCGCCTGCTATACAAGGGGGCGTGAAGTACAATTAACGTTCGGTTACATTCTAAAGGAAACAAATCCAACTCGATCTCGGTCGCCGAGATCCGGCCCGAAGCGGGTTACAAGGTCATCTTACGATAGGAATTTTACAACGATCTAACTGCCGACTCCCGATAATGGGGGGCGGGCGGTTCGCGACTAAGACGGCCCGTGCCCTGAAATCAATAGCGCACACGTGGATATACCTAGGGATCTACAACCGTCGGTGACTGGATCTGTCGATCGAATGCAACGCGAGCCGACCGTTCGCTCGATAACCCGCCAGGGTTTACCCGAGGATGCTGTCCGATCGCCCGCACTCGCGAAGCACGCGATCCTCTCTCTCGTCGCTCTCGCGACGATGCAAAGTTCGAGCCCGCTGACAATAGCGATAAATCATTTCACGGGAACGCGCCTCTTTGATCGGGGACGAAGAAGAAGACGGGGACGGGAATTACGTACGCGTAATTACATATTGGGTACTTTCCATTTAGCGACACAAGCCGACACGAGCGTCATCTTGTCTTTGTTACTCGTTGGATGAGGAACAAGGATGATATGATGCTCGCGTCGATTTGCGGCGAATAAATGGAAAGCCGCTGTCAATAACGAATCTATGGAAAACCGGACTATTTCGGAGAGCCTCCGATTATACGTGCGCGAGAAGGAAGTTAATTAACTGGTCCGTTCCCCGCTGCTCGCGGGGATGCTTTCGAGGTGCAAAGAAACGCGGAGCGTAAAAAAGAGGAATTGCGTAACGTAACGGGTCTGCGGTCTTCGGGGACTTCGTCATGTTCGTCGAGCTCCTTGCGCGACTTTCTCCTCTCTTCCTTTTTACAGAGCACCTATTTTACAAGTGTAACAGGGTTTACTGGATTCTCAAATTACACTTTTTTTTTTTTTTTTGGAAAACTCCAGGATTAATACATCGATGCGTAGTTATAATTATTACCGTGGACTATCTCTCTCGCGGATTTATCGCCGTGCGAACAGGCAGAACAATCCGGTTATACCGGAGGAGTCGTTCGCTTCGAAGCGCAAGGTCGATGCTCTGCCGAAGTCGAAGTACGCGGACTGTTCTCAGGTTACGACGTCGTCCGACGTCGCACTGTTTCGGGACGAGCGTGCTCGCGAGAATTCTGTACATGAACGGGACCGAGTCCCTGCACTCGTCCTTCGAAACGGCCGCGCGTTGATCAACCGGACCGACCTCTGGGCTATGTCGAGATCTCGATCACCGGCTCCGCGGTATTGTTATTGAGCAGCTCCTGCTTCTCCCTCAGCTTCAGGTCATACTGCGACGGCGAGGGCGACTCTTTGGCCTCGATCGGCGACAGTCCGTCCGTCTCCTCCAACGGAGACACACCTTCCTCGCTGTCCTCGTCCTCGTCGTACTCGACTTCCATCTTCGACTCGTTGCCGATCTCATGCAGCCGACTGGGAATGTAGGTCGGGTGGTGCGGCAAGCCGTAGCCGCCCTCGCCGCCGTAGGTGACCTTGCCCATGAACGATCGGATCTCGTCGAAGTAGGTGTCCTCCCGCTCGTTCTCGTTGCTGCTGCCGGGCGAGTCGGCGACCGAGACCACTCCGCTGCCGTCGTCGGCCTCGTGCTTCTTCAGGTGCCGGTCCAGGTTGGTCTGCTGGCCGAAGCACCTCTCGCAGAGCGGGCACTTGAACGGCCGCTGCTTGTCGTGGATGTTTCTCACGTGTCTCTGCAGGTTGCTCGATATGCTGAAGGATCTCTCGCAGTACTTACACTTGTACGGCTGCTCGCCGGTGTGCGTCCGCAGGTGCCTCGTCAGATTGGCCGAGCGGGGGAACACCTTGCCGCAGAACTTACAGGAGTACCGATCCTTCATCTTGCCGTGAACGTGGTGGTGATGGTGATGGTGGTGGTGATGGTGCGGCGACATCACCGCCTCCTGGAACGGCTTCACGCCGGGGAACGCGCTGAGCGGCGGCCGGGCGAGCAGATCGAATCCTCCTCCTGGCCTAGCGCCGCTGAGCCCGTTCATGAGAGAACCTAAAAAAGGAAGCGTGCGTGGCGGACCGAACGGTGGTAGCGGAGGTATCAGTCTGGACTCCGGGCCAGTGGCCCCGCCCGGAGGTGGTGGCGCACTGGGGAATCCCGGGAAGCCGGTCCCCGTTGGCCCACGGTACATCGTCTCGAGGAACATCGGGTGAATCGGTCTCGGGTACGCCATGTGCGGCGGTGTGTTAGCGGCCGGTTGCTCCGTTGCCAGGCTGGTCCTCAATTGTGGACTGTTGGGGATCTCTTTGGGTTCGAGCTCCATCGGTTGAACGGCGTTCTCCTCCAGCTTTGGTGGGTCCGGTGGGGTCTCCTCCATCTTCACCGGTGAGGGTGTGCGACTCTTTCTATTCGCCGCTCTCGCGCCGACGTTCTGTTTCTTGGTCTGCACCCTCAGGTCCAACGGCTGATCGGGCGTTTCCTCTTCCGGGACGTTCACGGCGCTCTCGTTCTCCATTTTCCGTTTACGGCTCGCTTCCCGCCTCTTCGTAGGGTCGTCGTCACTCTCCGGAGTCGGTTGAACCGGAGGTCTGGCCGGCGACGGCCTGAAGGTCGACGTGGCCTCCTCCGCCGTGGAAGGGGAGACCTTGCTGTGCTGCAGCATTCGGGGAGGTGTGAAGCGTTCTTTCTTCGGACTGTCGCTCCTTTTCTCCACTTCCTCGATCTTTGGCGGGAAAATCAGAGGCGTGTTGAGAAAATTCGGGGCGTTGGGGAAAATCCCCGGGTAAGGGGCCATCAAGCTAGGCGCGTAGAAGGGCAAGCCGCCCGACAGGCTGACGGGGGGTCGTTGGTACACGAGAAAAGGATTCGTCGCCGGCGTCGGTAACTGGGGCATGCTGCCGGGCGGAACGGTCGGTGTGGTGGAGTCGCAGAATCGCTTGTGCTTCGACAACGACGTCACCGTGCTGAACGATTGGCCGCACTTAACGCACTTGATTTGCATGCGGCAGTCGGCGTGCATGCGCTTGTGCCGGCATAGATTGGAGAACTGAGTGTACGCCTTGAAGCAGACCTCGCACTGAAACGGCTTTACGCTGCTGTGGATGTGAGTGTGCTGCTTCAAGCCGGAACTGGTCGCGAAGGTCTTGCCGCACTCGGTGCACGCGTGACTCCTGGCGCCCACGTGATGAGTTCGGATGTGGCGTTGCAGGTTCGACGGGTCCGTGAAGACCTGCCGGATGTTCGACTTTTAGCGATACTTTGAAGATGTTGTCGGCTTGGGGAGAAGATTGTCGGATCGCGGCGGCTTGAGCGCGAAATTGAGGCTTACCTTCGGGCAATTCTCGCAGGGGTAATTGCGCAGGTCGCCGTGCACGATAGCGCGATGCCGCACCAGAAGCGGTCGCCAGGCGTAGGCACGGGGACAGCTGTCGCAGCGGTGTTGTTCCGCTGGATATCTGTGACAGGTCACCAGGTGGCTGTCCAATCTGGAGGCAGAAATGCCCGCAACCGTGTAATTAGATGCACTCTTTGCGGAAAGATCAATTAGTCAGTACAGGATAAGGTGATTATTACCGCCTTGGACAGTTTCCGAAACATGAGAATAGGAGAACGATTTGTCTAACAGAAATTGCTACCAATAATCGTCGAACACTTTCTGTAAATGTGAACTTTTTCTTTCTTTTCATGTGGTCGTTAATGAAATATTTTTCGGAGATATTCAATCCTGCATAAAAATTTTTCGAGGTTTTCTCATATACCATATAAATTTATATTAAAAAGCTCAAAATTGTGCCAAAATAGCTTGCACTAATATCAATATTTCGTATATATTTGGTTCAATCGTAGTATGAAATGGAAAGCGGAAGAATCTTTGAGAAAACGCTGGGTGTCACCAAACACGATATGTTTATGTTTAATACTTAGAATTGTATGTTTGAAATATTACACTTTTAATCAGAACCTACGTAGATTTCCCAACTAAAATCTATAATTGTTTTGGGAAATCGGATTAGATACTATTTAGATCCTAAAAACTACCCTCGACGGACTAGATGCTTATTAGACGCAAAAAAATTTCTCTACGGGACGTGGTAATAATTATTGCCTCACCCTCTTATATAGAGGGTCCCAAGTTTTAACGACCAACCTGCGCCAGTGTATTTATTTTATGGGTAAAAATAAGAAAAAATATATAAACCCACAGGACCTTTATTAAAACGTTACAACCAAAAAAATTGCAACCCCGTATAAGAGAAAATACAATAAGGAAACAAGAGATAATACAATAAGGAAACAATCGCGAATTACGCAAAAAACATCACAGAGATAAAGAACCATAGATATAACAACTATTTCGGCGGGAAACGCGCAGCTGACGACGGTACTTGCCTTATTTACCCCTTCAAGGTTCGCCCGGAACGAATTCTCGCGAGACCGACGACAACATGCCGGCGAGATAATGGTATTTGCGTTGCTCTTCATTATTCTACATCTCGGCCGAGAAGTTTAATCCGTCGAATCAATCCGCGAGCCGGCCCGGGATGTGACACGATAACCGACCTGTACCGACAAAGACTGCGCCGGGCGCGCAGTCTCGTATGATGACTAAGTGACTTCGGTTGCACGACGGCGGCGGCGAGTCGGCTCTCGTGTAATAACGGTCGCACGCCCCTGAAGAAGAGGGCGGCCATCGCGCACGAACACACGCCGTCACGAAGAAAAGCCCGGGGGTGTCCTGAGGGGGCGGTTGTCACGGGGTAGGCACGGGTTATCGTCACGCGGGATGCTATGGTGTGTGCGGCATTGATTTTGCACCCCCGAACACACGTGTCGTGTGAAACCCATTCGTGGTGAGATAGTGCCTTCATGGTGACGGTGTGCCGTACCAGATGAGCTGCGAGCACGCGACGCCTCCGATGATGTATGCGGCGGGAAGGGGAGGGTGGTTTTAACGCGTCCGGATCCTGGTCGCGGAGTTTAACGTCCCACAACAGGTGAATCCGCTGCTTAGACGTGACTCAATAGCACTCGAGGAGAGGGATTCTGCGGAGGCACGAGAGCTCGAGTCGGCCGATTTCTCGTATCGTCAATTCACTTCCCGCTGCTATTGGTTGGTTAATTTGCTTCAATTAACAATTTCGGCGAATTAAAAGATTACATGATCTGAGCAATTTGAGAAACGCTCAATTTGGAATTTTTCTGTTGACCGCGTTGACTTTACGAATATATCCTTTTGCGGGATGATTCTTTATGCTTTTATTTATATACTGCATGAAGCTCATTAGAAAAGATTGACATGTAGCGCTGTTATTGTTGCTTCCATCGAGTTCGTCATCGCTAATCGGTACTTAAAATATTTCGGGAATTATTGAATTTAGCTCTGTAATTTTGCATATATATTCTTAGTAAGATTACCTAGTTTTTATTTTTTAGGATTTTTGATATCTATCACAGTTCTTTTTTATAAATGTAAAGAGAAGAAATCTTTGGCGAAAGAATCGAACTTTTAACTTTGAATGCTAATATAAATGCTAATCGCTTTATCGAAAATTGATATTTTAAAAATCGGCTACGACGAAGGCTAGATAATATTACCAAGAATATCTGTGCACAACTACAATTAAATCGGCCCGATAGTTCCCGAAATCTTTTGGATACTGATTAACGACGACGAGTTTCGAGGAAGCAGTAATAACAGCGTAACATATCGTATAAACTTCATGTATAATATGTAAATAATAGTATGAAGAAACATCCTTCAAAAGGACATCGTCATAGAGTCAATAACGTGGTCAGCAGATAAATTCAAACGTTGAACGTTTTTCGGGTCGCTCGGGTAGTTTCTTAATCATCCACCGAAATCTAGATTCGTCCATTATTTCGGCTGCACTTAATGACGCAAATTAATACTGTCGACCGGGGTCGTCAAAAAGGAGTGTTATCGAATCGCGATTGTGTTCGAGCTCTTGTAGACGAAGTGGAATACGATTGAGAACGTAGACGAAAATTAACGAGCGGGTTGAAAGCGGGAGAAAGCGAGGCGCACTTCGCGTCGAGGGAAGTTGCCGGGAAGAAAGAGGCACTGTTTGTCTTCAATTATAATGCACTTTCGAAAAATCGGACGTGACCGTCGAAGCAAACAAGGCGGCTGCCTAGAATTCCGCTCGTGGGAAAGACGCGTCCGAGTGCCGAATGCCATATGCCAGATACGCGCGGTAGCGATGTTTGATCTCGCGTTGTACAACGATAAGCAAATAAATACCGTGGCGCTCGGTCGGAATAGATCGCACCCCCATCGTCCATCGGAGGAAAACGTACGATGTGACGCGCGTCATTGTACGCACGATTAATGACACACTCGCCACCGGACATGGGGAATGTGCAGTTGCATTTTTACATATCGCGAAATCGCGCGACCTGAAAGTCTTCCAATAATTCATGAAGAGCAACACGCACATCACACTCGGTCTTTTTCACTTGCAGTCACTTTACATTAATTACCCCCTAATTAAAGGCAATGACATGGCCGGGAGGCAGAATGTAGGCTGACTAAGCATCTTAATCGTGACGGTCGCGGAGAGTCTTGAAGAAATTTTCAGGACTCTTAAGAGCAGAACTCTTGGAACCGTTCGCGTGACAGAAGGCCCTTTCGCGAGCGCGTATCGCTGACCCCGAGATTTGAAGGCGATTACGTGGCGCTCACCTTTGAATTCTATCGATTAATTAATAATTGACGACACGAATCAACGGATGGACGGACGGACGCGGCGTACGCTTTATTGTCACTCTATTATGAAAGTCGTTGTCTCTATTTTCCCCTCTCTCTCTCTCTCTCTCTCTCTCTCTCTCTCTCTGTCTGTCTATCTACCTATCGGAATCTCTTTCTCTTTTTCGATTTCGATCCGATACCGCAGGTATACGACTTGTCGGCTTCGCCAGACACGTAATGATCGCCAATCTGATTTCAAAAGCGTATAACGATGCACCTTGAATTCTTCATGAGTCGCGCTTAACGACGAGTCTTCGGATAATGGAATGCGTGGAAACGCGGTAATCAAGGTATCTCACATCATTCGCGTGATTACGTGTACGAAGAAAAAATCGAACGATCGTAAATGAGAAAAGCAGATCGTCTTGAGCCTTCCGCGAATAAATCTTTCATCAAAACTGAAATGTTTTCTCCGAGAAATATTTGCCAGAAATTGTTTGAGTCGTTCTTCACTGCTCTTATATTCACGAGTTTAGATAATAAACATTTTAAGAAATGATATCATTATTTTGGTTATTTATAATAATAATATTATATTTTAATATTATATTATTATATAATATTAAAAGTAATAATATTATTATATTATTTTTTTCATTCATATATTGTATGCCACAATTATTTTATTTTATTCCTATTTATTGCCGATAATTTGCGTATCTGTTCATTTTAGCCTGTTTTTTCCTAGTCATTAAATTTGTTCTCTTACTTTTTTTTCATACTGATACATCAAATTGATTCATCTCCCGTTAACAATAGACAAATAAACAATATGTTTTTAAGCAGTCTTTTCGAAAAGAAATATAAACGCAAAGTTATTCGTCACACGCTTTCTGAAGTTTCACGAAATGGACAGAATAATTATGACGTGACAAGTGCTTACAGTTCGATATCTTGGAACGGCTTGTCGCAGACGGTGCACCTCGTCTCACCCTCTTCTTCGTCCTCCTTGTCCTCGTCGACGGTTCCGCTGTGCTGCGAGGCTGTAAATGACGAATACAGCACAGATCACACAAGTGTTTCCGACATGCCAGTGATAAAGGCACAGGCAAAAGTCGCTATTCCGTCCCGGTTTACGTATTCGTGTACAGACATGTAGGTGTGTGTACGCGGCCGGTCATAGCTCTATAAATTACAACCCCCTGCGAACGATGATACGTGACCCGTCGCGATGTGGGCGAATTACGTGATCCAGAACCGCGCGAGGGCCACAGAAGTGGCGTGACAAGTGGAGACTCGTGGATTGTTGCTGAATTATTAAATTAAAACAGTACTGTCTCTCGCGTTCTAATAAATCAAATCTTCGGCGTGTCTGTAAGATTCGACGGCGATTAACTTCGCAGAAACGACGATAATGATTTACAGTGAACTCGAAACGTTCGCCCCAAATCAATTTCTGTTTCTCTGCCAACATTTATATTATAATTATAATTTTTATATTATAATTACAATTATGTAGTTGTGGTTATACGCGGCATACATATATTCAAATTAATATTCCGATATCGAACCCGATATATTTTTATTAATTATTTTATTCTCGGAATTAATTCAAATGTAAACTCGCATCTCCAAAACACCGACGATTTCGATCGCGCTGTCCCTCGATTCCGAAATAATTTGGGAAAACGCACAGCAATTTTCCGCAATTGTTTTAATCGAATAAGCCAATTAGCCAATTTATTAAATATATTTAACAGCGGATCGTTATTTTATAAAATATTTACGTTTAGAATTAACGTCTCTCAGTCAAGTTTTTCTATTGTTTAAAATAAACCTCCGTATATGGCGAACGAACGTGTTCACGACGCGATTCGAGGCTACCGCACTGTCACTGGTCGTCCTTTCCTCCTCAGCAAATACGATACGACGAACAAGCCATCGCGATGACAATAGACACAATGATGCTCCAGTTAGCTGGCGGGCACACTGTCCGGTGACTGCAAACGCAAGCGGGGGCGTCCAGAATCGCTCGCGATTGGTACGAGCGACGCTGGGGGCAGCCAATCGTAGGTGAGTCTCGGCAACCCCCTGTGGCGTTTCACTCCCGAATATCAGAGCGCAGGTAAAATCGTAAACTCACCGTGGAGACAAGGTGCAATTATCAACGATTGAGCGACTAGCTAGCATCGGTGTTAACGGAAAGACATCGTGTGCAAAATAAATAATATACCGTCATTTTTTGGTTCTTTAAATATTCGTTTATCGAAACGCACTCGCGATCGCGTGTGTTTGCGCAAAAGTATTTCGTAAAAAAATTTCTTGAACAGATATTTGAAGCGCGATTTTAGATGGATTTTAATTAAAAAGTTGTTAACCGATGGATTGTTCAAGAGAGAGAGCTATTAAACCTTTACCGAGCTCGCGATTCGGCTCGAGTTTGAACGATATCCGACCTCCAACGGTTATTTAAATCTGCCGCTACACTTGTTCCGACCATATGGTCGAGTGATGGCCCCCAACGGACCTTCATGGGAACCGGGCACAACCCCCGTACCACCAACTACGCCCAACGCTAACCCTCTCTCTCTTCTTAGTACGTTAATCGTTTCTCTCTCCACAGCTAATTCGTAGCGGCACGCCGTGCATTTAGACAATGAAGGATGCGGTCGACTTCGAACTCTCCCTCGAAAAAGCGTCGCGCGTACACGCTACTCGAGAAAACGATTCGAAATTTAAGGACGAGACAAAAGTTTTCCGATCTTTCAGATGCACGACGGAAATAACGTGACAAACTGGCAACGAATAATTTTTAGGAGACATTATAAAAAAAATAATCCGACTATTAAATAACGTGATAAAAAATGCAGAGAAACAACACGAAACAGCTTTCGGATAGAAATTCTTTTTACGAGAAATGTAAATGAGAGAAAATATTTTTATCTGAATATAATTTACATCCCTAGTCGAAATTTTAATGTTACTTTGACATTCTTAAGGATAATTTGCGCCTATTTAGACGACCTATAGATCAATAAAAACCTTCTTTGATAATATTGATTAACTGCTCTTTCGAACCTCTAATTCTACAGATTGAATTTTAATTCTACCTTTAACAACCTATTTTGACATTAAAATGTATAAACGGAAATTTAAGATATCATCAGCGTCAAAGTAGATATTTAATTATATTATTAGAATTGAAATTGAACCTATTTTGCTATCTTAACTCCTACTGTGTCCTAAAACCAAAAGTTTAACATAGAGCCAAAATTTCGACTCGGGATAATGAAGAATCTTGACCATGTATCTTGATTATGTATGAGGATAAAATAAAAAGAAAAACACATAAATTTATGTCTTTTATTTTCTAATTATTCGTGTTTTGTAATTGTGCGCGCCACATGAAACGACATTGACATGCATCTCTGTCGTTTTCGTTTTTTTTATAGAATAACTAGCCAGAGATAGAAGAAAGATAAAGAAGGAAGGAAGGAAAGAACGAAGTAACGTGTGAATGAAACGCGCCGCAGACCGTTTCCAAACCGTTTCTCCGAGATTAACGGAAACGGTTGAAGGTATTATGTTAATCTACCGCGCGGAGAAGCAGTATGAACGAAGTCACGTTGCGGAAAGTCAACAGGTGGGATCCACTGGCAACACCCCCCGCGTTCGTTCGAGTAGCAGTCAGTTGGCAGTTGCATGGGAAAAAGTAACGGAAATCAATGTTTCGGTCGCATCGTGACGACCACGGCACAAGGCCACGGAACTGTCGAATGTTGAACGAACGAATATTCCGAAATAAAATCCGTTCTCCTTCGTCTCTCGCGGCTTTCTGAATCTTTGTTCCTCCGCTAACAGCGCGGACTCGACGTTCCGAGGCAGGCCTACCGTTTCTCTCCCGACGAGACGAACGGGACAGGGGGAGATCGATATTCGCTCGCATCTTTCCGCAAAAATTTGTCGCACGCGACCGTAGCGATTTCGAATCAAACGTCAAATAAACGTGTCATTAGTCCGATGAATCAGATGGGGTTGCGTAAACGCGTCACACGCACCTCCCTGCCGCGCAGTACACCGCCACCCCCTCAGGGAAAAAGTGTCGCGTGCCCTTTTGTGCCCGCGGATACCCCTTTTTTCATCCCGAACCGTGCCCCCCTTTTTCTCGGTCGCCCCTGAAACCTGGTTATGCGCGTGTTAATCGACAATAGTTGGCTATAAATTATCCGCAGCCCTAATAGAGCTATCGGGAAACACGCGGCGAAAAGGAGAACGATACGGACGCGTTTTTCGGCCGCAAGAAAAACGGTGAAGGATGGCGGGAAAAACAAGCACCGCGGAGAATCACGGTCATAACTCACCGAGACCGCCCGCGGCAATTGCATTCTGCGATTTCGCCGCAGTGATTCGCCGATTCGCGGTGTGTCAGTGCGGAAAACATCTGGGAAAGGTGGTTAGCGTGCGTAATCGCGCGTCCGCAAGCGTTTCGTTGGATGCTTTCTTTCGACTTGACCGATTAGTATTAGCGAAATTGATTTTAGCACCTTTATACGTTTCTATTTTTCAATTGGTCGTTAAAATATCTTATTATCGTAATACAATTCTATTGCGTTATCCGAGAGGTATGAAGTGTTCGTATGAATTTCTTCGGTCAAAATGTAACGTAATCTTTGAATACTAAACGAAAACTTTATTCAACAAATTATTTGCCATTTTGTCGCGCCATTTTAACCCTTTTCTCAGGCAACCTTAAGATTCCCTCCTCGAAGAACTTGGCTGGCTTGGAGACAAAGAAGTCATACATATGGTTTTTTGCTGCCAACGATCGAACGTTTTTTTGTTCAAAGAATTTTGTAAAGACCAGAACAAGTGATAGTCTGATAGCGCAATGTCCGACGAATATGGTGAATGCGATAGAATATCCCAGCCAATCTCATACAACTTATTTCGAGCGACCAAAGATAGTGAGATCTGACGTTATCATAATGGAACATAACACCCTTTCTGTTCGCAAGTTCTGGCTGCTTTTGTTTCAGTTGTTGTTTATTCAAATTGTCCAATTGACTACGGTACGGTACTGAATTTATGGTTTTGTGGGAGCAGCTCATAATAAAGAATACTCTTGTAATATCACCAGATACAGAGCCTAATTTTCTTTGCATGGATATTTGGCTTTCGTGTTGTTTTTCGTGATTCGCCAACCTGAGCGTTTTCGCACAACGTTGTCGTGAACAATCACATTTTTCGTCGCCCGATTCGCACAATGCGTTTCAAAAATGGATCAGTTTCGTTATATTTGAGCAGCATATCGTAGATGGAAAATTGGACTTAAATTTGTTTCGAACGAATTGTGTGGAATTCAAATATCATGGCGAGAAACGTTTCCAAGTTTCATCAAATCGTCATGAATGGTACTTTTTGGAATGTTTAGTTTAGTTGCTAACAAAAGAAACGACAGTTATGAGATAAAAAGTCATAACTTGTTATCAGGCAGTAATGTAACGCTTACTTTTACCTTTTAAAAATTCTTATGGAAGAAGAACCTTCAATTTTTATTTGTTACCTCATTTTTAAATGCTATTAGCAATATTATATAATAGCTAGATTATATATTTTAAAATAGACAACACCATTTCTATTATCATTTAATATATAATGACCAGATAATGGCTAGATCACAAAACCGATCCTAGATTTTAGTGAACTTCGACTTGCGGCTATCATCGCATAAGTTACGTTTTGACAGTAACAGAGATATCATTTTCTCGTTAATGAACTTTAGTCTGATGTTTATTTAGTTACATGAACTGAGATTTGTTTTTTGTACACCAGTCTTTAGTTAAATAGCGCGTGCTTAGTACGCGTTTGCTCTGATCTAGTTATTATAAAAAATTAATTCTCTCATACTGAATTGAACGCGGCGCGTACGAGTGGAAAATAAATCCGCCAACGCGAACATATCCTGGAAATATGTACATACGTCCGAGATTGAATTGACATCCAATTCTCGATAGGAGGTTTACGCGCACCCCACGTAGGCGTGTTAAAACGACTCCTCGTGTGTCCTTCTCCGCTCCCCACTGCCCTCCCTCGTTCTCTATCTCTGTCCGCGGAAAAAAATGATCCGCCCGAGAGGGAGAGACGCGGCGCAGATGCCCCCTTAGCAAGGGTTGGAACAGAGCGCGCATCGTTTGTTTGACATCATTATTCCCGCTGCACGCACCAGCTTGTCGGAGATTCCCCCGTAAAAATGGCTCTACTTGGATTAACGGTGACGCCAGTAGCACTCCTGTGCCGTTTACAGTCGGTATTAATCTCCCTTAATGCGAAAAAGCGCTGTGCTCACCGAACAGAGAGCAGAGGTTTATCGAATCGGTGCCGACGCCGAGGAAATTTACCGATGATTTCTTAATAATAACGCAATGCTTCGTATATTGAAACAAATAAACAATAATAATTATTATAGTTTTAAAGTTTCGGAAAAAGAAAACCTCTTCCCCATTTTTCCGCGGATTTCTTTGGCTCCTTTTCCGAATGGAACAAAAATTTGTTTAAAAAAATTCACGTGTGTTCAGTTTAAATATGCCACGTTTACTTTTTTCTGTAAAAAGATAAGAAAAAAAAATACGCGGAAAAATGAGGAAAAAGCGGGTTTTTCTTCAACTTTTGAAACTATAATAATAATTAATGTACAAATATAAATATATATAATTTTTTTGGTTACAAAAGAATGAAGGAAGGAAAAGTAAACAACAGTACAGAGTATCTCGAATGATAGCGCGAAATTGGTTCAGTGGATCATTTGATCGCAAGTTCAACAGTCGTTTAGCAGAAATTGTCGTTTGTCGCCAAGGTCGTGATAGTTTCTTATTAATAAGGCTGATCGTCGGCTTTTTCCAGAGATGTCTAATCGAAGGGCAACCGCGTATAAACGGGACGGGACCGACTAATGAAAATTCTCCCTCATCGTTTCGCCGGCGGAAAATTTAATTACGAACGATTTCGTACAACAGCGTGTCTTCCGCGCACGCGGACGACGACGACGACGACACGTTTACGAGCACCCCGAAATTATGACGAAAAACTGTCGGCGAATTAGCCGTAGACTCTGCGACGGCGGAACTTCGACAATAAGCCCGGTTTTAATTACCGCGACATCTGGGTGTCGGCATATAAACCCTCCGGCCCTAATCCGGCCCTACCAAAGTCGTCATCCAGACTCTGACCATCGCGCAGAAGTTACAACCAGATAATTGTCGAGCAGTCAGGCACGTAGACGCTACCCTTCTTCGTTAAACGCCTCGAATATATTAACGGCACAATGGTCCGCATAATGAAATCCAACGATCGATTAGCTAAATTAAGCGGGTAGATTGAGTGTCCGAATATTTCGTGCGTCGGTGGCCGGTATTTGATCCGGCACTGACACCGCGAAGTGTCGGGAATTCTTCGCAGTAACCCACTCGAATGCCGAAATATATTTCGAAACAATCCGATTCATTAACCTTTTAAGACACAGTGTATATAACAATAATAATGTACATTAACTTGGGCTCCCCTAAACTTCCCTAAATTTGATCTGTTAGTAAAGTAATAGTTCCGTCGATATAACATTATCAATCCATCCTAAATGAAGTTGTTATTCTCCTTATCGTCCTAACTCGCGAAATAGTGTCTTTTCAGCTGATGACCGATATATGCAATCACATATAGGACAAAGTCGTCCACGCTCGGATTTATACAAAGTTATTTGTGAATAAACGTAAGTATATTTTATTCATGAAGATTTTGTCCGATGTTCTTCAACGATCAGGTTATAAACAAGCGGAAAATAAATCCTTTTTAAATAAAACAATTTCACTATTTTCTGCTTTCTATACTTTAAATGTCCAGTGTACATAATTACATACATTCAGAAAATCGTATTTCCCGACGACTGATTTTATTTGGACAACAAAATTTTTATCAGCAGCGTCCTTTGAGACGATCTTGTAAATCACAACATTTTACTCCGATAGAATCGACGTGTGGGCTTTAAAGAGTTAAAAATATAATAATAATTGATACATTAATAACACCGTCGAGCAAATTCAAATCGAATACATATCGTGTGTAATTTTACGCGTGATTTTAACGCTGTTTTACAAATATCTGAATAAGGACGCGTTACTTACTGTCCAGTAAAGAACAAAATGACGTGAAATTACCGCGACGCGATCGCGGCCCAAATATTTCGCGTTTCGATCGACAAGAAGGATGGTGCCTTCCTACAAAAGTCGGAGCGGCGCGCGCGCACCACACGGCGACATGTGACGCGGCGAACACGTCTATCTGCTGATAATCAGTGCTTATTAACGGACGGGGGTTAATACGGCAACGGCCGACCAGGTGAATCACGCCAAAGTCAAGGGTGCATGACGAGCCAGCGCGTGCATACAACGATCCACGATTTACCCTCTGCCCGCCCCCGATTCGTCGTTTCGGAAAACACCTGCCCTTGCCCTTCATTTGCGTTCGTACGCGTAATTGTACGCGCACGAGCCGCCGGCGTGCGCGATGCGTATCGGCACAGAAAGTCATAAACCCGTGCCGAAACGATCGTGACCGCCGATATATCTCGCCGGCCCAGTCCGAATATTATTTTGTATTCGCTTTTGTTTTTTCGATTTGCTTCTGATCTGAGCGTAATCCTTTCATGTGAAAAAACGGTTGCATTTCTATGTCTCTAGTTAAAATTTCAGTAATTCGGTCTGTTCGTTCGATAAATTGCGTGGAACAAAATTGCGATAGATCAACAGCGTTCTGAGGTACAACGTCGTTATTTAATTTACCGTGGTTTTTGTCAAACAGCAAAAATTTCAGCTTGATGAAGGTCAAAACAAGAACCGAACGTTTCGTTTTGGATACTCAATTTTTAAGAATATAATTTATGTTTCTTTAACGTATTTAACGTAGATAATAAAAAATATTGTATTAAAAACGGCCTATTGAAATTGTTGTATTACTTTAACATGAGTAATATGTTAAAAAATATACAAATATGTGTTAGATTAACATATTCACATTGTTAACATATTACTTTTTAACATATTCATCTTGTTAAAGTAACATAAAAAATTTAAGTTGATACTTTTGAACATAAAAATTTTTTTACTATATAATTGCGCTATTAATTTTCATTAGATATTTAAAAGTTCTATATATATTGGATCAATCAAAAAGTTCGATTCAATTTTTGAGTAATTTTTTATTTTAATTGTATTCTGTGAGAAGAAGACACATTCAAACACATACACACACACACATATACATACATAATATGTATACATTTGTCAATTATCTATCTAATTATAGATCTATCGATCTATAATTCTATGATCCTTCGTCAACGTTTTGCTAAGATTACAAAATATCAAGATATATTACAAGGTAGAATATGATCGCTTCAGCATTAAAATAGAATAAAGAAACGAACCGAACATGTTTATTTAGCAAGGTATACCTATTCTTTATTAGCTATTAAATCATTTTTCAATATTTGGGGCTCTATTGTGTTTACTTCATGAAATCTAGAGGAACCATTGTTGAAAACTGAAGTATATATAGTTGGATGAATCAATAAAAGACAGAAATCCTAAAGTCTTTCTCGCGACAAAAAGCGGTTTGAAGATATATATATATATAGAATATTGTCTAATTCTAGTTCTTTGTGTAACTAGACACACTCACCAGTCTCACGATCGCTCCTGTCTTCTGTCGTATTTTCGCCCAGCATGTCCTGCAGCTGAAGCGGCTCACGAAGACCCAAAAGAAGCTCTTCGCCGGTTGCGATGTCGCGAACGGCTTCGTACACCATCTGTGCCCATCGAGATAGATCTTCTGTAACGCTTAATCTTCGAATATCTTAACCGTGCGATGCTCCAAATAAAATTCCAAATAAAATTTAATCCTCAGTACACTATGATATGTTGTAATTTGAAGATAGAATAAGTTTTACTTTATTAAAATGAAAATGTTTCTCTTTATCTTTCAGAAGATTTCTAAGAAAGAATAAAAGTTGTGGAATATCTTCTTTACAAAAAACTAAAGTTCAAAAAGGAAATTCAACAATTGAAATTGTTCCCAATGGCTTCAATGTTATACCGAGGACCATAAATGCCTTGCAGATCGCGAAAAATTAATCGAGCGTCGTTTGCACGCGCGTTTTGGTTCCATTGGAAAATCTCCTTTCGCGTAATTTTCACACATGAGACTCCGTGGAGCCCAGTAACGTCGGGAAGCCATGAAACGATCTTTATAACGTCGTCACGGGGGCCCGAAGCATCATTACGATAGCGATTCTGCAGGGCACTGATAGAGAGAAAGAGAAAGTGCCGCGTCCCCCATTCCCACAGCGATTGCGAGAGGGCGTATAGGAAGTCAGCGAAACGACCCCGTGGGGTGACTTAATAACTAAACACCCTGTATACATGTAGCTTACGGCGCGCCCACAACATCGCGGATACCATGTGCCATGGTTCACAGAGAGAACAGAGAGAAAGAGAGAAAGAGGGAAAGACAGAAAGGGAGAAAGGGCCAAACGGACAGAAGCGTAAGGTCGACCCTAAATTGACACCGTGACCTGCATCGTTTCCGCTTATAACGTCTATTCGACGACCGATCGTATGTGAGCGCGCTTCACTCAATGACTCGATCGTCGAAAGCTCCTTTTAATTGTCTCTTTATTCAATGATTTGCCACCAAGATAACATTTCTGTCTTGGTTACAGGTCTTTTCATTTCTAGAAAAGACAGTTCTCGTCGAAGTGACGAGTCTCGATATTATTGGCAGTACCGATTTGCATTGTTGCGTCGTGATACCAATTGATTCTCGCTTCGCGTTGATTTGCATTGTACATAGCTGTAGGACTAGCAGAAATCATGTATTTCGACTAGTGGAGTGGTCCTCGACAATCGTGCGGCCTGCAAGGACTTTCACGCACGTGTCACGGGAAGTCAATCGCTCAAAAAGCGGATGGAACGTACGAAACAATAAGAGTCCCCTGCGAACCTGTTAGCGAGTTTTTTAACGAGCGATAACATATGCAGAATCAATTGAACACTGTGCTTGGCGCCGAATAACTATCGTTTCCTATTAACTGCAACTGTCGATCGAGTGTCAGTTGCGTGTAAACGTTTGTTAAATCGAGAGTGAGTCACCGAGTAGTTACCAAACGTCTACTTGGAGAGGGTTGTTTTGTTCATAACGGTACAACTCCCTCGTATCATCATCGTGAATAGGACACCACAGAGACTGTATTCTTTCCAATTAAAAGCAAAATCCCTGCGCATCTACCCTCCCTCTTGTTATCCTATAATAAAATAAATGAACTCTAAGGACAGATTCCTAATCGGATCTTATATTTAAGACCGTCTTAAATTCATCTTCAGATGTTTCGTAGCCAAAAAATGAACCGTACAGAAGATGAATTTAAGATGGTTTTAAATATAAGGTCAAACTACCGGCCTAAATAATTGATGATTTGCATTTGAAATATCTCCGAGTTATCGATAAAATTTTAACGCGAACTGATATTTCTCATATATGCCACGTATGTCATGAACCATTCTGATCGAAAGTGACGATTGCGAATGCCGATAATACTCACTTACGATATCGATATAATCGTCGCTCCTCGGTGAAATTATCTGATTAACAATCTCCACGCGTGTCATCGCGCCACAGAGTGAAACAAATTACGAAACAAGTGATCATTCACGCTGATTGGCTCGGTTATCGTATCTATTTTCTATTTTTACTGTTTGCTCCTCGCGTGATGTAATTGAATTAAATTGAAATTGGTCGGTCGCGCATAACAGAAAGAATACAACCTGCTTATCGTACATCGTGGATGTCCGCGCGAATCCGCTTATCGCGGATCACAACGGCGTAGGCGAAGTGTAACACCGACTTGGAGTTCTCGATCGCACCGGCTGATTAGCGAGTTTTCGTTACCTGGCCGCCGATGAGTACATGCCGCATGTTCACCGCGTGTGGGCTGGCGGTGCTGCGAATGTACTTCAGCCAATTGTTCGTCTCGTGCGACGCGTCCAGCCAGCCTCTTACTCCGCTGCCCGATATGCGAACCTGAAACACGCGTGATGTTTCGTGAAAATCGTAAGAAGCAACAATGAGAGATTCCGTCCGGCACAGATCGCGACATCCCGCGCTTTTCGTTTTATGAAAGTCGATAATGTGGTGAAAATATTACCTGTGCGTGAGACGTTACGGTAATCGGCATTCCCGAGTCGAAATTTTGATCCTACTTTCGATCTGAAAATTCCATCTGACGTCTACTTTGATACCTGAGCCTGTATATACCTCGTTTGATTCTATTTAATTTCTCAGATTGAAATTGTAGTTCTACTTTCCTCCTCAATATTCCATGTAAAGCCTACTTTGAAGCCTATGGGCACCTTCTTTTAATTCTATTTAAACTATAGCTTCCATTTAAAGTCTATAAATTCTACTTGGAGTTCACTGCTCCTACTGTAATACTTAATATTATGTAGTGTTCAATATTATAAAAATCATTTGACAATATTTATTTTTATTAACAAATCTTTACTGTTCGTAAGAAAAATTATTATTACATGAATTTTATAATATTACTAATTTATATATATATATTACATAATAATATTATACAATAATTCGAATATTACAAATTGTTAACATATTGTTAAGTTTAAATGAGAAATCCACCGTGAATCATTGATGATCTACGTGACAATAATGAACATATTAACTTAATGAAATTAAAAGGACAAGTTAGGTTCAAAGGACGTGGAGGGTTTTACGAGATTTTGCTGAGATCCTCTTTAAAACCTATAAGCGATATTTTGTGCGTTTTCTGTCTTTTTGAGACGCTAAGTAGGACTAAAGTTTCCATATAAATTAAACCTACATTGATCCTCCAGAATTTGCAGATGTTAAAAAATTCGGAAGTAGGTCCAAAATGTCGACTGGGGTTGCAATCTTTGGCATGAATCGCGATTATTACATTTTGTCGGTTTTTTCGTCTTAAGTGGTAAAAGCCGTTCGTTCCGCTCTTCTCCGCGTCACTCGCGCGGTAGAATCGCGCTCGCTCGCGCAACCGAGGACATAAATGAGAAAATACTTTTTCCATCGAGAAAGCGCGCCGACTTTCGGCCGGCGTGCACGTGCGCGAAACTACACGCAGACAGTGCGTATTTCCGGCGGCGAGACCGCAACGTTTCGGATTCGGAACATTGCATTTAACGGACTGTCGCTCATGGACACATCGGCCCACTCATCACCCTCGCATCTGCCCCGACTTCCCGCTCCGACAGCATCCAGCCGAGGCGTCCCTACTTTTAGGGCGAGACAAGTGATTTTTTTTTTCAATTGTCTACCGCGCTTTCCCGACGTCCCGCGACGCTTGACCGACCAAGCGTCTCACCCCGACGCGTCGACTTCGTTCCTACGGTCACCCCATTTGCCAACGGGAAGCTACGAACGTTTTCCTTGTCACCTCCTCGTCTTAAGTGGTAAACGCATTTTGCACTTTTCACCTCGCGGACCACATTGTACGCCTATTCGCGGAATTGTTTTGACCGTTTGTTACACATCTGACGGAGACGTTTCGATTCTTATCAGTGGGCGAGGTAAAGAACATATTTCTTTTTTCCACGATCTTTTTTTTCGGTTTCTTTCTACGGATTGGGAAAAAATGGGAAAAATTCCGAATTTTTTCATTTTTCCCCGTTTTTTCCCGGTTTCTTTCCGAGCAAAAATAGTAAAAGCGGCTTTTTTAAGCTATAGTTATTCATATTTTTCAAAAATAAAGTTATGCCGATAAATGAAGACATCTTCGGCAGGACGTGGCGCGAAAACATATTTCCAAATAAAGATGATGTTACAACCACTGGTCAGATTAAGACAGTTTTATGATCTTTGAATCTCATTAACATGTTTGTGTATTTTGCCACGCTTCATTTGAGGAACCCTCCACGCAGACCATCTTGTATCTTTTATATGATTGAGTAAAATAAATTAATTTGTTTATGTGAACATAGAAAGAAAGATAATCGCTGTCACAGAAATGTAACGCTGGTCTTCTCGGTTCGTCACACATTTGTGACGCGTGGCGGTGAATGTGTTGAACAAAGCAGATCATCGTTGTATCTAGTCATTAGTTAGCATTGAGTTCCGACGGTCAACTCACACCATCTATTGGTTGTAAGCATAACTATAGGTGTAACGATCAATAGAACTGTGAAGGTGGATAAAGTGTGTAGGTAGCACTCTACAGATAACTTCATTCAAAGAACGCCACGAACAATGAAGGATGTCTCCATTGAGAATTTCTAAAACACGGTCCATCCGTACTTGGGATATTTTTTGAAACAGCGCTTGGACATTTTTCGGATTCTTCCTTTTCATTCGTGACCGCACGTAAAATTCGACGTCCATTTTTTATTTCATCCAAGCCTTTTATTGCACAATCTTTACCAAAACACTGAATTAACTGCTACCTGCATTTTACAAAAGATTCATTCGTCCCTGTTTCTCTGACACTGAATGATTTGTGCATATTATCAAATCACAATCGAATTAGTAATTGTAAATCGAAAAGATTCACACCTTTGAATTAGTATATCGAGAAATAAAGATGAGCGCCAAGCGAAAATTTGTAATCATAATCGCTCCAAGTTGTCGCATTTAAAAAATACATTTACATCTGCGACTGTTGCGCGAGTCTTCCTCAAGCGTATCGCCTACCTTCGGTGTCGTCATCCCGAAGCGTCACTTTCGGTGTAGCGAGGCGGAGAAACTCGTAATAATTCACAATAGTACAACAGATAACAAGACAGGTTACCGCAGGGAATAAAAAGAAACCCATGCTGCACCATTCATCGGCGATAAAAATAGCTACTGGTATTACTTGGGGATCTCTTCAGAACTAAGGTGCGGAAATGAGCACAAACCCGCCAACCTTTACAATAGACCTTCTCACCAGGGCAAGATTAAGGCTCCACCGCCCGGTCTCGCCTATGACAAAGATGCGTCAACTCATTCTTCGGCACAGCAGTCGATTTTTCGCAAAGATTGTAATAAATTATATGTAGAAAGGAATAAGAAGAAGAATTCTACAGAAAAAAGATAACGTCAGACAGCGACTGCAATTAATATAATTTATATTTTACGGTCAGACATTCCGATTCTATTTTTCCGCTTTCTTTGAAAGAAATCCGACTACCTACCTCATGGTAAGTAGTGATACATGAATGCCGTCAAAACGTTGACAAAGAATTATTTAAAAAATGACTTTGTAATTATTTGTAATTATTTCCATTGAATTCGACAAAATTCAATTTCACTCGAAATTCGAACCGAACTTTGATTGACTCGATGCTACATTGAATTTCACCGAACGTAGTTATTGCTGTTTGTAAAAAAAAAAAAAAGAAAACTGCATGCGAGGTAGATGTGCTCCAGATAGACGCAAGATGGAACATATTTCTCTCGGCTATACGAATGCCTCGTCGACATTTGTCAGAAAATTGAGACGGATAGGACTGAGAAATTCGTCATTCTGGCTTTAACGACTCCGAGAGGGAAGTTGGCTTTGTCGGCGCACGCGGACATGTGCTAACAATTCGTGGGACAGATTTGTCTAGCCGTGAATCTCGGCCGTGATCGTGCCGCGTCACATTCTGCGAGCGCGGAACGGAAAATTATAATACCGTGAATCGTACGATCGCGAGCACACAAAACGTCTTAATAGGGCGTCCGGCGTCACAATAGGTATCTTTGTGACGTCGAAAATCTCGCGTCTCTATCCCGCGCGCACGAAAAGATCGATGCTCAGCGTACATAATTGACAAATTTGTTATTTAACGACAAGAATCTGAGCGGAGGATATCACGCTGGAAATGCGAGAGTTAAAGATAAAGGATTGTATGAGTTGAACGTCGGAAATTTACATACATTTATAACTACAAGTTCTTTTATCCGAGAACTACTTTGGGACGACAAGTTGCGCTAATTTACGACCCTCGTTTTTCTCACCATGAAAACTCGAGAACTCTACGAGACGGAGGAAGCAAGATGCATCAGCGAGGCTATCTCAGTCAGAGGAGATTTTCATGAGCGGTCAAGACAGAACGAGCAGGCGTAGCAGGTAATATAACCCTAAAGCGACACATCTTGCATCTCGGATCATCCGCAGGGAAAATCTCAGAAGGCTTCTACATTTGTTGTCTTGCTACAAAAATCGCGTGGTCGCTTCTTCCCTTTTGTAATATCACACTTACAACAAAACCAGGCTCACGGAAGGTATTTCGCTTAGGCTTTACCGGAGATCCAAAAGGGAAAAAAGGAAGCTACCGGACCCTCGCGACAGATCCTCGTGCCGCTTTCTATATGGTCCCTCATAATCGACATTTCACAGCGCGCATCGTTGTTGGAACTCGAAAGGTGGGCAGCCTTCGCCGAGGCGAAGGGACAATGTGCGATCGATCGAAATTTAATGGAAATCTGTACGTTCCTCTTGTCCGACATTTGAACGAAGTTTTCACGACGGAGCCGCGACAGAATCCGCACGCGGCTTTGTAAACAGTCCCGTTGTATTTGAGTTCTCCGCATGTCGTACAGTGTGATTAAATACTTGGCTCATATTTTTGTACCGTCAGCTAAAAATATTCCTTTGACTCATTAGCGAAATTTGTGCAGCGCAAGGAAGATAAATTTAAATGAAAGCAGTATGGCGATGCATTTTCATTCGGAAAGCTCGTTTCATAAAAATCTGCACACGAACGTGGTGATGATAGAAGCGCATCGAGAACAGAAAGTATCCCTGAGTACGGCGACAGCCAGCGAAAGTTATGAATAAAACGGATCGATAGTGGATGATAGCCCCACGATGGTCGACGCAAAAATGCTTTTAGCCGACACAGCATGTCCTCCCCCTCTTGCGGAGAAAATCCACCCAGCAAGTTGGCCGACTCGCAGAACTCGACGGGATACATTTTTCTGGGATAAAAAAACTTTTATCGGTGTTTGATGTGTCGTGAAAAGTTTCTAATTACTGCCGTAAAATGTCAATTTTAAGTCAATTTTAA